CAACAAATATAAAAGGCATGAATAGAAAACCGTGAGTGTTCCCATGATATTGGAACTCTATGTCATAGAATAACCTGAAGCCGTTATGGTGTCCAGTTCGTAAAATTGACGGTTCTTAGGACTTCTTACCCCCTAACCCTCCGGTGAACCCCCCACCCCTCTCTCCCTACAAATTCCATGGCCCCTTATTTTTCGTTATATTACACATTAACAGAGTGTTTGACACTGCAGTGGATTACTTGAAAATCAGAATCATAACGCAAAAGCCAAAAGCATTTAATCTTAACTTTGCCAAAAAAACACTGTAGGAGTTCATTTTGCACTCACAAGTAATACACCATAAGCAGAACTAAATTTATCAAACACACAAAACTACTTTTGGTTATTCTTTAACACAATGTCAAACACCCTCTGTGTCATATAAAAGCAAAACAAAATCCCTAAAAGGGGACCATGGGGAGGCTGGAGAGATTTGTGATGACTATAGGATAGAAATCAATTAATTAGATCAAACATAGTACTAAGACTTTCAAATGTGACATTTATGCGTCTTGTCAAAATAAGAATGACCTTTAAAACCACGTGCAAATTTTATTGTCTTTTAAATTCATTTTATTTATGTAATATAAGAATAAAAAATAAAATTTAAATATTAAAAAATTACATAAAAAATTTGCAAAATAAGAAGTCACAATAATAATAATATATTATTTTATCAAGTTATCAATAAACACATATAAATAAACAAAAGTTATCGACAATCAGAATACATACCAGAAGCATTTTTAGTTGTAGTGTCATGGTCATGAGGTGAAGCATGAAGAAGATGAAGGTTGGGGATGAAAGTCATGAGAAGCAACAATAATAATATGTAACTCTTCATGCGGCGGCGAATGGGAAATCACGGCGTTGTGCGGCGGCGGAGGTCTGATTTAAGACGCCGTAGAAATATGATCCGAGGGGAAAGGGGAGACGCCGGATGGAATATATAATTGGGGCTGGATGATTATGCTTGGAAAGTACGAAATATATTACTCCGTACGGAGTAATATTATTTATTACTCCCTCAGTTCTCAAAAATACTTCCTCTTTCATTTTTTTTACTTCTAACAAAACACTTCCCCTTTCTATTAAAAAACCACTTTTACCCTTACTTTTTCATACCCTACCTATCACATCATACTTTTTCTCTAATAATCTATCCATCACATCTTACTTTTACCCATCACATCAGGGGCAAAATTAGAAATCAATTATAATTTAACACTTCTTTATTTTTGCCCCCAAATAAAATGGGAAGGGTTTTTCCAAACGGAGGGAGTATGATACAAAAGTAATTAATATGACTATAGGAGTATGTGAACAAATTAATACGATTATACCATAATCTTTTTGAGATCTTAAAATTTAATTTTACATATGAATAACACAGCAATAATGATTATGACTAAATTTAGATTCTGACTATTAATAACATCTTTAAAGAGATGCCCATTATTAACAAACGACACGAAAATAATATTTGGAAAACCCATTTATTCATAAGGTAATTGTTCGTTTCAGTAGAGTACTCTCCAAAAGATCACGAATTAAATTGTACTAAAATTGTACACGAAAATTGTACGAATTAAATTGTCAAAAACAATGAAAATATCACACGAAAAAAAAAAATTACTATTTTTGTTTCACAAAAAAATTCTTATTTTGAATTCATGAAGATTTAACAATGTTAGTAAAAGAAATTTGATGCAACAATGTTAAAAAGGTTGGTAAAAGAAATTTGAAAATTATTTTGAGTTTGACAATAAAAGGAAAGTAAGCAAATATTAATGGTTAGGAGAGACCATTATATCGAAGAGTTAATTAGTTTTTGAATATGATGTACTCCGCATTTGGAAAGTAGACAATTTCGCTCTTAAATTGCAACCCAACCATTTTCAGCTTGAGTAATTTCAATTCCATAAACAGTCTTTATTAATAAATAAGTTTTTATATTTAGTTCTTTTAGATTTACTTAGATCGGATAAAATTTTAATAGGCATTGATAACGAGTTGGGTGGTGCGAATTGCGCATTGCTTGTTTAACGGCATTACCAATTCTGTAGCTGGGTCCAAGGATGCCAACTCATGGCGGGGTGCAAGGGCAGAGCTCTTGGCTGGGGTACGATTGAGCTACCAGGTCAGATTGAAAAAGATTTTATTTTGAACATAGTTACTTTATGAAAATCCTTTAGATTTTTGTAAACAAATTGAAGTTCAAAGTCATGTACATTTGAATGTGTAAAATAATACATTCCAATGTGAAGATTATCTCCATCAACGTTTACAAATTAACCGCATGTGAACATTCGAATGTTTTGCGATAAGACGCGTTCGATCAGTCTGTGCTCGATAAATATAGAATCCTACGGTATATTTGGAAAATGCCTAATCTTCCATACTTTTCTAAGATACTAACGTTTTATCTGATTGAAATATTTTGTTATACCCTGAAAAAACTTTAATCTCAAAGTGGCTACGCGATTCGTTTAGTGTAACAAGTTTCTTCACATTCGTATATGTTCCTTGTAACGTTGCTACGCAGTGTTATCACCCCTCTCGGATTTCCAACAAAAACTACATGGCAAAAACTCAAATACAAATCATAGCAAGGCAAGAGGCAAAAGTCATAGCAATGGTTTCAATCCAAGGCAAACCCAAAGCAAGGCTTTGAACCAAATGGTTGATCTTGAAATAAAAATCAAGCCCCACACGGGAGTTAGAGGACTAGAGAGACCGTTCCACAAAATCCTTCTCCTTTCCTTTTTCATCCGTCTCAAAAAACTCTTCCTTTTTCTAATAAAAAGTCATTTTTATCCCTACCAAGAAACTCCTTTCCTTTTTCATCCGTCTCCTTTCCTTTTACATCAAAGGGCATTTTTGAAAAGTCAACACCAAAATATACTCCCTTTAAATCCTTTAAAAGTCAAAATAAGAAGTTTTTTGCGGGACGGAGGGAGTAAGTCTTCCCAATAATATGTAAAATAAATAAATATATGAAATAAACATTTTCTTATTTCACTAATTTAGCACCGTTTTTAACACATAAATACTCCACATGAGATAAAATAGGGCTAAAAACATGTTTTTTACAAAGGTCTCTTACTCTTTTTTTTTCCCTCATTTTCGGGCCTCCCTTATGAATTACAATGGTGTACTCCATTTGTCCCTCACTCCCTTCCTGTCTACATAATTGGATAAGAAAATCAAAAAAAAATTAAATAAATAAAAATTAATTAAAAATGAGTGGTAGAGAAGAGGGTGGTGTACAAATGGGGTACACTTTTGGTGTACCCCTAGCTCTTTTTTAAAAGATAGTGTAATAATAAAACACCAAAAAGAAATTGATTAGTAGAGAACCACAGTTATTTTTAATATGCTCTCCGCCGCCGCCGCTGGAGTGATGATGTCCGTGGTAGTAATACGGAACCACCACGACTTGACTCGGAGGTGACGGAGACCCCCTCTTCTTCCCACCGCCACCGCCGCGACGGCGGCCGAACCATCCCCGTGATCTGCCCCCGCTGCCGTGCCCGCCGCGTCTGCCAACGGCTCTCAATTCTTCTTCACTCTCTGTTTTCACAAATATAAATTAATAATTATAAGGTTTCGCACTATGGGGGCCCCCAAATCGGCGATCTAGGAGAGCGGGGCGGTAAGATTGATGGGTCGGAGATTTTGACGAGTAGAAACCATCGAATTTTACGATCGGAGCACCACAAGTACCCCAAAACTACTGATGTCACAATGTTACCCCACTTGAAATGGTATAACATTAGAGTAAGTCTAAAATACACCAGTGCTACGGGGTCATTTGCTTATATCAGTTAGTTTATGATACTTACGGTGCCTCATTTGTAAAAATAATTGTTCCTACCCTCCTTAACTCCCAACCTCATCCCCTGACCCCCTTCATGCCCTGACAGTACTGCCAGGGTCAAGATGGGAGCGGGAGGGCAGAGGTGTGAACGCATGGGTGTGTGGGCAGGGGTGGGGGGATTAGAGGGGATAAGAACCGTCATTTTTACAAACGGGCACTGTATATACTCTAAACGAATTGGTATATGAGTAACTTGTGTTATTTTAGACACTCCCTATATGAGTTTGTGTGTGTGTGTGTGTATATATATATAATGAAACATACCAGAAAGATTAATATGATTTGCAATATCATGATCATCATCGTCCTGACGATGAGGAGAAGCATGAAGTAGAAGAAGATGGCTGAGGAGGAAAATCACAATTAAAAGCAACAATAATAATGTGTAATTCTTCATGTTTTTTTTTGTTTGTTTAGTTACTTTATATATATGGAGTTATATAGTAATGGATGAGGAATCATCATAATATAAAATCCAACTTCTCCTTGGTATGTAAGGATTATATACTACGGATCGGAGTAATAATAAAGTTAATGTACTAAAGGTATACGTACGGTAATAAGGTCTCACTTCTGATTAACGTGTTTAATTAATTTCTAATTTTAAAGTCACGGAATAAATTCTTGAAAACTGCGAAAATATCCCCCCACAAAAAAAATCGGACTCGTTAGAGTTTAAAGTTTGAGTTTTTGAAAAAATAATTTAGTTTGTGTAAAGAATAAAGAAATACGTACTCCGCAATATAAATTGCACAATACTTTTTTTTTCTAAAGAGGATGAAAATTTTGGGACAAATCAAATTAAAAAGTAGGAATATATATAATCTGCTGATCACATGACATCAGCGTCTCCTTTAATTTGTTCTCTTTTAATTTACAAAGGATTCCTTTAACAAGAAGTCAAGAATACCTTGTTATTAAGCTACCAGTATTCCACACATTGGCAGATGCAAATTATTCCCACCCATTCCACTAAGCTTTTGAACAAAAAGGACATGAAAATTAAATAATGATTTCTATATTTGTAAAGCATTAATAGACACCAAACATGATCATGGGGATATTCCTTTTTACCCCAAACAAGGACACCATACCATTATTACACCCATGCAATTTAAGGGTTNCCCCCCCCCCCCCCCCCCCCAATAATGGGGTGTCAAAATATCCTTGCTCAAACATGATAGTCCATATATATATCATTTTCTTCATGAATTTGCCTTTTCCAAAAATATCCTCTTGCAACTACCTTGCGAATCTCCGAGTCCACTCCGCAGCTATTTCATCGTGCCGTGCTCTATCGCCCAAATACAACTGAGCAATACCAGGAACAACCGTGTTGTCTGCAGCCAGCCATGGCAGACGTTGTTAACAACAAGGTGCAACGAATGCACAAGAAAACAAAGTCTCAGGGTAAAAGGTGTGTGTGCGCGCACACACACACACACTTACAGGTGTCTGGAGTGGTGAGCATTGATCTGAGAGCAAGAAGAACCTTTGAGATAGTTAAAGCTGGACTCCAACCATCTTTCAAAATGACCAAGCTAACAATGCCATTCGGATCGACATTGCAATGGTAGATCCGGGTTTTGAAAATAACCTGCAGATCAGAGAGATGTTACGTGCGTAGGTGTCACAAAAGGGAAGTCTAGGTAAAAAAAAATGAAAATTTAAGTACATACTGTAGAATTATGAGATTCTAACCCAAAATTAATTGGCAATGGAATGGGAAACTTAAAATTCTTATATACTAATCGTGTTTAGTCTGGGCATGTGATGTTGGACTACATCCTCAAAGTCCCCTCAAGAGCAACTTGGGTCTTTTTGTCTCAAGTTATCAATTGCTTGAGCTCATAAGTTTTGTCTCTGGTACTATACAAAATTATGAGATTTTTTAGTCTGGGTGTTTGATATGGGACTATATCCTCAACAAACATATCGGTCATGTTCCTTTTGCCTTAATTTTAACTGGAATTGGAGTTGAAGTCTGGTAATTGGAGTTCGGAGTTTGGTAACTAGAGTATGGAGTTTGAAATCCGGAGACGTGCAACTGGATTCTGGAAATAGGTACTGAAACTTGGAACCTGGTGACTAGAATCTACATTGAAGATACTACTCCGTATATAACTAAAGAAAATTTTAACGGTTAACTGGAACATGGTGCTGGAATCTAGTAACTGGAATCTGAAGTCTGGAATCTAGAGATTAAAGTCTAAAAAACTGGAATAAAAAGTGGGAAAAAAACAGGGGTGACGTGTGAAAATAGTCGGCCATAGACCCGCAGTTATGCCCAAGAAAGATTCCTTATATTTTATGGTGTTTCTCGTTACAAAACAGTGATGTTCAGCATATACCTGTGGAGGTTTAAATGGATACTCAGATGGAAATGTTATGTCAAGGAAATATATCCCGCCTTCATAAGGTGTTCCTGCAAAGACAATGAAGACAATCCTTCAAAGGCTTCAATGTCAGTGATTCACACCCTCTTACATACCCAGAGAAATAAATGTTTACAATAATTAGAAAGAAAGGTATATGATTTTGAGAAATCTCCAATCGAAAAAAATAGTCCGGTGCACAAACTATCAATTTTACAATCGGAGCACCGTAGGTACTCTGATTGGAGTTGTCATAATATGACAACACTTCTTGTCGTCAAAAGAAGGGGGGTGTTATTATCATTATACTCCCTCCGTCCTAAAACTATCTTCCCGTTTGTGTTTACGAAGTTTGACCCACTTTATTTTCAATTCAATTTATTTGATTGTAGGTGTAAAATTAAAAAATAAAATTTATATATCTAAAAACTACATCAAAAGTTCTACAAAAAAACAAGAGGTGACAAGACTATATTATTTTATCAAATAACTAACGAAAATAGATGAAGAAAGTGATTTAAGTTTGACTGCGTAAATAGTAACTGGGAAAGATAGTTTTAGGACGGAGGGAGTAGTAAAAGAGGCTACTGCACCCACTAATGCCCAACCTCTCACGTCCGAGCATCAACTCTATTAAGGAGTATTAAAGATAGAGGCATTCACAAACCGGGAACAAGCACTGAATCATCACAAATCACGAATATTCATTTAGAATAAAGTTTTTGCAATAAGCATGTCAAGAGGTTGCTTTAATGGGAACTTATACATATAAGACTACGAACCACCTGTTCATTCTGGTTTTTAATGTCAAAAACACAGTTTAAGGATATCAGTGCATGGCACTTTCCCAAGCTTCATGTTTGATTTTCAGTTGTTTGACTCTATCCTAGCACAGCCAAGCATAAACAACACATTGACTATATATTATATTTCCATCCCTGAGTAAGGGAAATACACTAAATGCCAAAAATTGTTTTTTATAGATGTTATTGGAAAAGTGGTTGGGATATCCAAAATCCGTGGAACAGGCAATTCGAGACTATTGGAGCTGTTATAGGAAGATCTTGAGTAACATTTCTTCCTTATAAAATTTCTATTTACATTTGTTTCTCTGTCCTAGAGATGTTTAATGACAAAATTGGTTTGGGTAAATGTGACCTAATCTTAATAGTCTAATTTTGCCGACCTAAGCGATTCAAAGGTAAAGAGTTTTACTTTTATAAAAACTAATCGTGTAAAAATAATCAATATCTGTAAAAAATTATTTCGTATTGGTAATACAACTGTAAAGACTGAAATAATCTATTTTTTGTTTACTAGATTCTGTGTCAGTCTCAACATCTTTCTATGTAACAAAGTTGCTTCTAGACAGTGATGCTTCAGCAACTCTTGAATAGAGAGACAGATTATAACCATTGTTTGAAAAATTAAATGGTATTTACTTTATATTTGCAATGTGTTGCTAACTGTCATTAATTTGAAGATTCAAAAAATTCAAAAATGAGGGCAATGAGACCAACTCGGTAAGTACTTTCACTATCACTCAGAGTAGTGAGGTAGAGGATGACACTGGAAGTGGAAACTTAAAACTTACAAGTATCAAGTCACTGCTTGCACAAAAAGAGATACAGTGTTTTGTTATAAGCATGATAAATGGTTTATTACTACTCCTTCCGTCCAACAAAATGTTCTCATTCACTATTCACAATTCACAAGGTCAAACTTTATTCACTTTGTTGGCGTATTTTCGCTGCCCTTTTGATAAAATAATATATTCATGTCGCCTCTAGTTTTGTAGATCTTTTGATGTAGTTTTTAAATATGTAATTTTTATTTCAAAGTCCAAACAATTTTTCATATAAAATGATTTGAAAGTAACTACAATCAAACACCGTAACGCGCAACGGGGACATTATTGTTGGACGGAGGAAGTATGTAAAAACATAGATCACTTAACATATGTGTTTTGTTAAACAAGGATGGTTACTAGTGGGTGAAGGCCTATATTGAAACAATCAACTACAAGGACTCGTGCTACCTGGGTTGCCAAAAATGTCCCAGGAAAATTCAACTGTGTTTAAGTGCTCAACTTGTGAACTTAATATGAAATTTGGTGTGTATAGATACGTGAGGCCGGGTATTAGTATTATGCTTTTAAAAAAATTGAAATTTAAATTTCAACATATGAACAACCTGTAATTTTAACAGGTACAAAGTGAATGTGACGTTGGTGGACAATGGCAACAATGGGGTTGGAGAGCCGACATTGGGACGATGAAGATGAGGCCAGGGAGATGAAGAACAATGGAGAAAATGAAAGAAAGATAGAGAAGACATAGAGAAATAAAGGAAATGACTTCTCCATTTCAATGGCGGAAGGAAAATTCAGCATTTCCATGGACTTCCGTTTTCCAATCTCACCAAACATCATTTATGAATTGTATAGATGTATTTAATTTGTGTGATGAGAAATATTAGCTACATGATAAAAAAAATTAACATTGTCAAATACTCTAAATATCAAGCCTACAGTGACAGGAACAATAGAAATGAAGATATGATGAGGCCATTCTGAATCTAAAGAAATTTTAAAAAACGATGGAGCAAGAAGAAATTAGGGTCATGATTAGACTTACTGAAAAAGAACAGAGGTGCTCTGCATGAAAAAGACGATGAGAGAAAATAAGCTTAGGCATACTTGGTTTAGAGTGGAAAAATAAATGTTAGCATGTTAACTTGTCAGTTAACGAAAAAAGACACATCAAAAAGCATTAATGATGACTCAGAAACGATGGAGTAACGATGTAAATACGAGAGAGATTTGGGAGTAACAGTGTAAATAAATGAATTTGAGAGTATTTATGTAAAATCTTTATTTTCTGGGAGTATTCTTGTGAAGTTTGCCTTTTTTGATGAAATATTTGCTACCCTCTTTAATTAGTTTATCTATGTGCAGTTACATAGTAATGAATGAATAATCATCATAATATAAAAGAGTAATTTGCCTAAATATGACTAAAACATAATGACTTTTTCAATATAGGACCATATGTTTTTATTTCCCAATGTAGGACCATTGGTCATTATCTATTAGTCATTATTCATCTAAATGTCCAGCATCACTTGGACACTATTCTTCTCACTAGTCATTATTAAGTCCTATTTAGGGAATAAAAAAGTTTAAGTCCTACATTGGGAAATGACTTATGTTTTAGTCCTATTTAGTGCAAATTTCACGATATAAAATTCAACTTCTCCTTAGTATGTAAGGAGGCAAATTCTATGGTGGACCTACATATGAGCAAAATAAGCATTTCTTTACTACTTAAATAAGCATTTGTTTTTTTAATAAAAAACAAAAAAAAAGATTTTTTTATGTGAGAAGGTTCATAAAAATGATATGCATCCAAGGTGCACCAAAGAAGCACTCATAATACGGAGTAATAAAAAGTTGATTGAACTAAAGTGAAGTAGAGAGGATGTTTCAATACAATCCCGCTCAAACAGAGAAGCACAAATAACACAAAGTAAAAATATAGAGATAAAAGTGTGCATATCGACACTAGCAACTAGTTTCAATGCACAATAAGCACAAATGCATAAGCTACGGATAAGCACAAAAAGCGCAAATGCATAAGCTACATTGATATGTGTTTGGACCATATCAATCTCTGCAAATAGCCAAATACTGGGGTTTTCCTCAACCTTGGATCTGCCTAATTTCACTTTGAGCTTTTTTTTAAATCATATTGGTTGCTTTCCTGTTTCGTAAAGTTAAGATTGGAACTTAGACATTTAAGGCAATATTGTGAGAACAAAATGGCCTCACACTTTGGCTGTTCACTTAATTTTAAAGATCGGGACTTCTTAAGCTATCACAATTCTCTTTCAAAGAGCCTTTTCTAACTCTCTATTGTAGAGCTTAATGAGTTTGTTTAATGTCTCGGATGGTTATGAATGGATGGTTCTTCCACCTGTAGTTGTTAAACTACTCCACCTCCATAATGAATGGCTGAGATTCATTTGATTCGAGGGTGGAGATCAGCTCTCTTACCTCTCTAAAATTCTCTATACATGTCTTTGCTTTCTAAGATTGTCAAGTTTCAACATGCCATTCCATACTCTCACAGAAATCTTCACGCATCTCTAGAATATTCAAGAAGATGTCATATAATTTGTTGCAGTTCTAGAGAATTCTCAATTGATAAGGGGTCTCTAACAAATCATGATTCCCCCATACAAGTAGACATTAGCCCCCAGCAGTCTAGATCTTTCATTGATGTCAAAATAGTGCTACTGATGTTGTCGCTCCCATTTTTGTTAGTACGACAACAAACCCAGTAAAATTACACAAAAGTATGGTTTGGGGAGGGTGTGAGTACGCATACCTTACCCCTACTATGGACCCGTGATTCAGTGTCAGAAGTACGAACAAAGAAACCATTGAAGCACGAGCACAAGCAGAAGAAGCATACAATACAGGCTGACTTTAAGAACTGGATATAAAACATAAAGCACACAAGCACATGCTACATACTAAGGCATATAATACCCCAGCAAAAACTACAAAAGTCTATCCAACAACTCTAATACTAAATCTCCAAACGCTCCTATGTAAGGTCATTTTTGTTAATGTCCCTCCAAAATCTACTATTTATGCTAATTTAAAAACTAATCTCCAAACTAAGTTCCACAAGTCTATCCAACTACTCTAATACTAATCTTGAAACGCTCCTATCTATCTAAGGCCATTTTTGTTAATGTCACTCCAAAATCTACTATGTATGTGAGTGAGTAAATATTGATTTTGATGTGGGATTAACAAAAATGAGAATGCCAATCATCCCAAAAAAAGAACTCCCTTTTTAACAGAGTGCAGCACCATTACCATTGACATACAGAATAACAAAAGCTTTTTTAGATTTAACACTTGTGAAAGTAATGAACGGAGATTCCATAAAAGCTCAAATCTTTTCGAATAAAAAATGGGGAGCAAGAGACATACCGGAGGGGCCGAAGAGAGTGGCGACCCAATGGTAGAGATTGTCGCCTTTGGGACCAGCGGCACAGTCCGGAGGAGGGTCCAGGCTTAGCTCCGCCATCTCTTTTTGAATTCTTTTGCCGGAAGCAGAAACCGACGTCGTGGACGACCACGACCGCCCTCCGCCGCCGCCGCCCACTGACGTCGCTCTTCCTATCCCAAACATTTGAGCGCCAATACCCTACCTACCATGTGTTAAAAGGGGCTTCCCTATTTAGTCCTCTATTATCAGATATTACACTAGTGGTCTTTCTTTTATGGGTATCTTTCCACAAATAGTCATTTTTTGATCTTCTATCATGTTGATGTTAATTTGAGGGCTAAAAGTGTAATTTCGCAATGATTATATATATTTTTTGTCATACACAATTCCAAAGGCTATTCCATTTCCATCGTTTGTGAATTACTGTCGCTTTCTACAACAACCATAGTCTACAAATGTGGTCTTTCGTCGGAATTCTAGCCCACAATCATAGTTATTATTTTTGTGTTATCCGCTTAACCAATATCAGAACATGTCACTAAACATAATGTTGATGTCAAATTATACTTTTAGCCTTTAAACTAATATCAACATGGCAGAAGATCAAAAAAAGGACCATTTGTGGAAAGGCACCCTTAAAAAAAGGACTACGGAGATAATATTTGATAATAGAGGACCAAATATGGAAACCCCCGTGTTATAAAGGACCAATTATGGAATTTACTCTTATTTTTACCTTATTTTTATTTATTTAATTTTTTTAAATTTCTTACTCATTTTTGTGGTAATAAGGGGATTGGAAGACAAATAGAGTACACCTTTGGTGTACCCCTAACATTTTTCATTCAACTCTTCCCATTTGGCTTGGTCATGCAAATTCGACTCGAACCCGGTAACCGACCCGACAGTCTACTAGAGTATTCCAATTCAAATCGAAAATAAAATAATCTGAACTCGTTCCAAAAAATTTTACCCGACATCAAAACGGGCCAGGTGTGAATTTATAATTTTATCTGATTCGACCTGACTCAAACCCGAATAATTATAACATAAAAGCCTATATATGTGTTGGATTAAGGAATCCAAGGGTAGAGGAAAAGGAGAAAATGTGTAAAGATGAAGAAGATGATGAATAGTGTAGCCTCCATTGTTTCCTCCACCTCCCCTTCCTTCTTCCTAGAAGAGGGGTATAAATAGGGAGAGTTAGGGTTAGGGTTTGAGCATACATACAAACTAATGGGCCGGCCCAACAGACTGGGCCGCCCCTAAAAAGTAATTAATACAAGATAAATGGGCTTGTCCAACAGACTGGACCGCCCCGACCAATATTATACAAAGATCGGATACCCCCTGTCCAGGGTATCCATCAATATGGATATAATGAGCACTCCTTATAATCTCTTGACAAAGTGATACTGTATCAAATATGCCTTTTGTAATCATTTTTATAATTTCTTAATAAAAATGAGATACAAAAAAAATTACTCCCTCCGTCCTAAAACTTTCTTCCCATTTCCCCTTTTTCTCTGTCCTAAAATTACCTTCCCATTAGAAAAAAAAGATGACAAATGACATTAATACCCTCATATATTTACACCAATTATCTTCTAACTCTATATTTTGAATGATTGTAAAAAAAAATTCAAAAAATCTTTTTTAAGGAAGGTAAAATTTGAAGTCAAGACCAAAAATTAAAAATGGAGAAAAGTCAAACTGGGAAGAAAGAATTAGGACGGAGGGAGTATATTTAATCTTTTTAAAATTATCAAGGTACATCGAATTGATTGTTAATTAAAAGTAGGGACGGAGGGAGTAATACATAGTAAAATTAAAAATTATATCAATCTATATTTAGGTTAGACCAAATCCAGTCGGATCATATCCAATCATATGAGATCAAACTATATCAGATCAGATCAAATCAAATTAGACCATGCCTTTAAAAAATTACTCCATATATTAGAATCAATTAGATTAGGTGAACGAAATGCAAGCTACATCCATACCGAAATAGACTTGGGATAAACAATTATCCTAAATAGGACTAAAACATAGAGAAAAGTACCAAAATAGGACTTTCATGTTTTTTTCTCGGAATAGGACTTTGCACTGTGGTAATGTGACTTTGCATAGTGGTAATGTGGCAGTGTACATGTGCAAATTACTATACTTTTTTGGTAATGTATATGACCATGTTTGGTAATGTAAGTCATATTTCGGGAATAAAAACATGGAAGTCCTATTTTGGTATATTCTCAATGTTTTAGTCCTAGTTTAGTCTTTCTCCCTTAATTAAAGTCAAACTAGGGGCTTGTTCTCTTCATCACATGATCTGACTAAAATAAATTTTGATCTGATATTGTCGATCTAATTGTAATTATATTTAAATATATTTCTAACATGATACCATGTGATGATAAGAAGGTACAACAAGTGATGACAATTAAGAGAAGTAGAGGGTCTAAAAAAGAAAAAACAAAGGAAGTTGAACAAGCAATAGACCAGGCATGACTATGGTAGTAAAGCCATTGCTCTTGTTATGATGCTGGCCATAGTGATAATTATAAGGATTATACTGAAGAGGATGAGAGTGGACGCGGTTCACGGCGGCGACACCCAAATCTTTTGTATTATGATCGGAAACGTTTGGCTGTTCTTTGCTGCTCCCGTTTCGGTCTGTGTCGTCGTCCCTGTTATTCCCATGAGGCGAATTATTGGGTATGTTGTAGGTGCCGCTAAGGAGTCGTCTTCCGCCTCTAAAGTTACTACCTGTGATACGTATGTATAAGATGTGTTTGTATAAACCAAATTTAGCTAGGCAACTCATTTGTGACACAAATGAGTTATATATCAATCAATACCATATCCATGTGAGTGTAAAAAGTGGTCAATCATATCGCACATGGTTTCTAAAATTTAAGGGCCCAATATTTTTAAATTCATCACTAATTTTCAAGCATAAGTATTCTAAAATACTCCCACCATCCCAAAAAGTTTGTTACATTTAGAAAAAATTGCGTCCCGTAAAGTCCGTTACATTTCTATTAAAAAACTACTTTTACCTCTTACTTTTTCATACCCTACCTATCACATCATACTTTTTTCCTAATAATCTACCCATCACATCCTACTTTTACCCATCACATCAAGGGTATTTTTGGAAAGTCAATACCAAAATATTCATCCCTTAATTTCCCAAAAAAGTCAAACCGTCCCATTCTTTTTGGGACGGAGGGAGTATAATAAAATAGAACCCAAAATGTAAATTTCGGACCGGACCAATTTTGTTTTTTCATTTTTCGAGGCCGGCCTTGACCATATGTATATTTTTTAGTGTGTGTGTATGTGTATGTGTGTCTGTGAGCCGGTATCTGCGGGAATGCACCTTGTGGAGACAAATGTGAATAAAATCTATTAGTTGGATCTGATTCATCGTGCGGCTCAGATTGCATCCCGCGCTCAGATTTTGAGATAATACATTTTTCAAAGGATTTTGGTGCATTTCTACGTGATGCATTTTTAACCCATTTTGGTGTATGTAATTTTGAACCAGTCCTGACCCTTAAATCTCACAATCTAAATTACCAGATTCATTCTCATTTCTCTCATAAGATCGCATTCTCACCAGAACCAATATATAATGAAGTAATACCTATTCAAAAACTCAATTAATTAAGTAAATAATTACTCCCTCCATCTAGAAATTTTCTTCTCATTTGACTTTTTACGATCTCCAAGATTGTACTTTGACAATTAATATCTTTATTTATACATAGATATATTTTGTAAAAGTTTGATATTTGCAAACTATATATCAAAAGGAATATATTCATATTAAAGTTATATCGTGATACAATGTATTTTTTCCATATATCATAGTCAAAGTTTATAAACTTTGACCAAAAAAAGTTAAATGAGAAGAATATTTTCGGATGGGACTGAGGGAGTAATACATAAACAACACATTTTGCATGCATTTACCCGTTGAAGCATGAGGCTGGGCACTTGTGATGCCATGAAATGCATGAACATGAAGCTGGTGAATGGAAATAAGTGCCAATAATAATACCCTAGTCCCCATATATATATGTACTTTTTTTTTGTCACTTTCTATACCTTGTTATACGGAGTATTTGTTTTTTAAAAAAATGTTATATTTTGTGGTTTTGAATATTTTGCTCATAAAACTGTAATGAACGACAAGAAGTTCACAATTTCATATATATGCTGTTAAGAGGTTAATTAAGTGCGAATATATAGCTTTAATCGTTTAACAATAAAAAAAATTAAACACACTGTTTAATACTGGATTCGAATTCTAAGTGTTTAGGCAATTGATACCTCATGCCATACTCCATGTGTCATTAAATAAATCAAGGCTTTTAGCATGAAAAAATACAAAAATTATGAGACATTTTTTTCTTTCAATCTTATGTAAATATTAAGTGAAATTCACACTAAATAATACAAGTACTACGTACTAAAAGATATTTTTTACCGATGTACTACGTAGTACATAAAACTTTTTATTTTCTAAATAGTACTCCCTCCCTCCGTCCCACTCTCTTTATCCACTTACCTTTTGGCACACCATCCAATGCACTTCTTTAATCCATTTTATCTTGTAATTTGTATATTAAAAAATTATAGAAATTATATATTAATAATCTATATGTTAAGACAAATCAAACAAGATCACACATGACTATATTTAGGCTTACACATTGAGAGAATTTGATGAGTCAAAGTGCTTAAATGAACAATTCCAAAAGTCAAAAGTGGACAAAGAGAGTGAGACAGATGTAGTATTTAGCTTAGCTTGAAGAATGTCGTGTGCGATTTACATTTATTTTGAAAAATAGTCGATGATAGTGGATATTTACTTAACAATATTCAATGGACATTGAAATAATGATACTACATTGAAAAATTAAAATATATAATACTACATTGAAAATTCTCCGTGTCTTAATACTATATCGAAAAATTCTTATAATATTAAAATTGGTGATTGTGCATTTACTATATTTGAAATTATCATCATCTTATTTATCATTAGTTACAAATTAATTAATGACAAATCTTGAACATGCAATTCAAATTTTTTGTTACAACCCCCCATGTTTTTTTTAAGATCGAAATTTTTATTTTGGAGTGAAAAAAAGATGAAAATTTATTTTTGAAATTTTGGAGAGTAATTAATTTGATAAAAGAGTAGTTATAGGTCACTGATTACGTCAAACTATCTTTTGTTTATTTGAGAGGAGGTGAGAAGGATTTGCGGGGAAGAAAGAAATTTGGTTGGAAAAAAAGCACATTCATTCTATCACTTTTTGAAAAAATGACCCAAAATAATCCCAACTTTACCCTGTCTTTCAAAAATAATCTCACCTTTCACTGTGATGCATAATAATCCAAACTTTATTGAAATTTGCCAGTTTTGGGTCGCCGTTAAGTTTCTAACGGAGGGTTAACGGAAATGCCCGTTTTAGGCAACAAAATGAAAGTTGGGATTATTTTTGATGAATTTTTGTTTTTTAATTTTTTTTGAAATTTTTATTTAAATTTTTTGAATTACTTTCAAGCTCCATTTCTTTTTCTTTTTTAAAGATTATTCTTACCTTAGAAAAAAAATAGATATAAAAAATAATGAAAATGAGAAAAATAACTAAAACCATACAAAATTAATCAAATAAATAATGTAATCAATAAGAAGTGATATGTTAATACTCTGTATAATGCGTAAAATATTAAAACCCACCCGTATACTTTTATTTTACTTTTACCAATTTCAAGTTAGTTTCCATTGATTACCTTATTTATTTTATAAAAATCACCCTAAATAGGACTAAAACATATATAAAAGTACCAAAATAGGACTTTCATGTTTTTTTTCGGAAATAGGACTTTGCACTGTGGTAATGTGACTTTGTCCTGTGGTATTGTGGCAGTGTACATGTGCAAATTACTATACGTTTTTGGTAATGTATATGACCATGTATGGTAATGCAAGTCCTATTTCGGAAATAAAAACATGGAAGTCCTATTTTGGTATATTTTCAATGTTTTAGTCCTACTTTGGTCTTTCTTCCTTTATTTTATTATTTTTGTATCATTTTAGTTACATTTGTTATTTTTTTCATTTTTTATATTTATTATTTTTATTTTTTAAACTAAGACTAATCTTTAAAAAAGGAAAAAGAAATGATGATGGAGGTAGAAAGTAATTTAAAAAATTTAAATGAAAAATTTAAAAAAAATAAAAAAAAATGAAAATTCATCAAAAATAATCTCAACTTTAATTTTGTTGCCTAAAACAGACATTTCCGTTAACCTTCCGTTAGAAATTTAATGGCGACCCAAAACTGGCAAATTTCAGTAAAGTTGGATTATTATGCATCACAGTGAAAGGTGGGATTATTTTTGAAAGACCGGCTAAAGTTGAGATTATTTTGGGTAATTTTTCCTAACTTTTTAGGCTCTATTAGTATCACACATGTGTTGCACGTCTCAGTTTCGCAGTTACGAGTATTAAATTTAAATTATTTTTCAATGATAAAAAATGATATCCAATAGAATATAGAGATTATATTATTTTAAGGTACAAAACATCATTATTTTACAAATTTCGAAAGACTTCTTTATAAACTACATTATTTGTGCAGTTTGTGGAAATATTGTTTTCATTGCATATCAGAATCTTCAACCCACTACAATTAGTTACTCTTGAAATTACAACATAGAGTTTTCCATGACTAAAACATACTCCATACGCCCCAAAAAGTCAATCACGTTTTCAAAAATTTGCGTCCCTTAATTAAAATCCGTCTCATTTTTATTAAAAAGCGTACTACTTTTACCCCTTACTTTTTCATACACTGCCTATCACATCATACATTTTTCATAATAAACTATCCATCACATCCTATTTTTACCCATCACATCAAAATTATTTTTAGAAAGTCAACACAAAACTATTCCTCCTTATTTTATCATTTTAGTCAAAATGTCACCATCTTTCTGGGATAGATGGGGTATTAGATTATTCTTATGGAAACATGTGATAAATCCTACTACCTCCGTCCCAGAGTATTTGTCTAGTTTTGACTATTGGAACTGTTCATCTAAGCACTTTGACTCATCAAATTCTCTCAATGTGTAAGTCTAAATATAGTCATGTGTGATCTTGTTTGAGTTGTCTTACCATATAGATTATTGATATATAATTTCTATAATTTTTTAATATACAAATTACAAGATAAAATGGATTAAAGAAATGCATTGGATGGTGTGTAAAAATGAAAATGAACAAATACTCTGGGACGAAGATAGTAATTGCTTGTAGCTTCCTCATTAACATTGATGACCTCTCATCATATTTTTCAAATCAGTTAAAATCCTCATTTTTCGTAGAAATGACAGTTCTGAAACGTAAGGGAAAAAAAATTTCACGATGAATGCAATGACTATAAAAACTTTGTAAATGGATGCATTTATAATATGATTTTTGCATACGAGGTTAAAAAAATTATTCATTTTTCAAAGTTCTATAATGATTTTAAATTACTATCACTATATTTAAATTATTTAATTTATTATATTTAAAATTATTATAATTAAAATTACTATAATTAAAATGACATGATAATTAATAGGAAGTATACAATTATCTAGTCACACAGTTATATAATTAATACATTTTTTATTAAAATTATTATAATTAAAATATAGTAAGTTATAGCCATTATAAAATATAGCCACTATGATTAAAATAGCCATTATAAAATCACTGTAATTAATTTGACATAGTAATTAATATACAATTATGTAGTCACACGATTATATAATTAATGTCATGGTCAATTATTACCTTTTTTATTCTTATCTTTCTTGCTAGTATAATTTCAGACACTTTAAAAATGACAGTTAATTATTACTTCTCTTGGTTATTACATATCTTGCTATTAAACGTAAATATATATATTTAAAGGATATTTAATTCTTACAGTAGTCCATTTTATCTATAATTTTGGACATTTTAATTTCTTACCATCTTTAGATGCTTAACAATTACCATTACTATAATTAAATTATTTAAATTATTATATTTAAAATTACTATAATTAAAATGACACGGTAATTAATACAGAGTATAAAATTTTGTAGTCACGCGGTTATATAATTAATACATTGGTTAATTATTACCTTTTTTATTAAAATTACTATAATTAAAATATATGGAGTAGTAAAATATAGCCATTATAAAATATAGCCACTATGATTAAAATATACTCATTATAAAATTACTATTATAAAATTAGTATAATTAATTTGACACGGTAATTAATATATATTATGTAGTCATCACACATAATGTTAGATTTCATTAATAATGTAATATACAATTTTAATTAAAATCACCATAATTAATTTGACACGGTAATCACACGTAATATACAATTTTAATTAAAATTACTATAATTAAGATTACTATACTTAATTTGGCACGGTAATCACACGTAATATACAATTTTAATTAAAATTACTATAATTAAGATTACTATGATTAATTTGACACGGTAATTGATTGGATTTCATTAATAGCATGCTTAATATCATTTTAACTTCACAATTACCATATGTGATGGCCATACTTTTTGGGTGGAAAAACGTAATATTGACTTCACCTCATTTTAAATTAAGTATGGATTTCATACAGCTGATCCGATTAAATTTAATTTAATTTTTTAAAATATTGATCTCATCTAATCAGAGCTAATTAGATTTGATCTTATCTAATCTGATTGAATCTAATGTGATTAGATCTGGTATAATTAAATTTAAATTTGATATAAATTAATTTTATAATTATGACAACAATTTGATAATTTTAAAGTATTACAATTTATATAGAGCCTGGTTCTATGACCAATGGATTCCAGTGGCCACGGAAGCCACTGCCCCCCTTACGGAGCTCTATTCATAAAATTGATGATTCCTCCCCCCTAACCCCCCGGTAAACCCCCCGCCAAGTCCCGATCCAAACTAATCAACCTACCTACGTCAATTGCATCTCGTTAGTATAATTGACTTTAAAGTCAAAAATTTTGACTCTATACTTACGAGGTGCAATTGACGTAGGTGGGGTGATTAGTTTGAGTCGGGACTTGGCGGAGGGTTTACCGAGGGGGGTATGGGTAGTAATCATCAATTTTATAAACGAAACTTCGTAGGAGGGCAGTGACTTCCGTGGTCACTGGCCATAGAACCGGACTCGTTTATATATACATACATTTCGTTACCTTTTTAATTTATGTGAAAGCGGAATAATCAATTCTTCTTCATATAGTGAAGAGATCGAGTGTATTATTGCTCGGAGTATATAGGTTTTGATGAAGAATACATACTAAAATACATTCCATTTAAATTTTATTTGAAAGACATTTTTGATAGAGAATTAATAAAGGAATACATGTTAATTACTTGGTCCGTCTCTGAGTATTTGTCCACTTTTGACTTTTGGAACTGTTCATCTAAGCACTTTGACTCATCAAATTCTCTCAATGTGTAAGCCTAAAAATAGTCATGTGTGATCTTGTTTGATTCATCTTAACATATAGATTATTAATACATACTCCGTAATTTTTATAATTTTTTAATATACAAATTACAAGATAAAATGGATTAAAGAAGTGCATTGGATGGTGTGCAAAAATGGAAGTGGACAAACACTCAGGGACGGAAGGAGTATAAAAGATCACTTTTTTAATTATTACTTAATGATAACTAATTTAGGAAAAAACGAAATTACTAAATACTCCGTAGTTATCTATTTCTAATTTTTCTCTCGAAGCAGTCAGTCATTCATTTTCATTTTCCCATCTCCACCGTGGAGCAGTTAGATGTCGATATTGTATGCTTTGGTCGGTAGGGGGACGACTGTGCTGTCGGAGTTCAGCGCCGTGACGGGGAACGCAGGGGCCGTCGCGCGGCGGATACTGGAGAAGCTTCCGGTGGAATCGGAGTCCAGGCTATGCTTTTCTCAGGACCGATACATCTTTCACATCCTCAGATCCGATGGCCTCATCTTCCTTTGTATGGCCAACGACACCTTCGGCAGTGAGTTCCCCCAATCCAAACTTTCCGTTCTTCTTTCTCTCGAAACAGCAACTGAAATTACTTGTTCGATTTACTATCCAATTATGATGGGGATTGTCCTTCCTAGTAGATGAGTCAAAGCTTGATAGCAGAGATTGAAAATTTGTGCCATCCATGTACTGAAATTGCTTGCTTATTTAGGGTTTGGTTTTCTCAATTTATTTTCTTAATTCTGTACTTTTAGGTTTAAATCGACTCAAAATAGCAATTAGAACTAAATTGTTCGACTTTCACCTCAGTCCAACACTCCAAGAATTCCTAGTTCACTACATTTCAGTTGAATATAACTTACCCTTAATGCTTTGAGCAAATATGGGTAGTGCTTTGTACTTGTCTATGTTGTTTGATGTCTGAAGATTTAGAAGGCATTTATATTGCATATCATACGTACGCGCACACAAGCATGAAAATGTTCACCCCGAGACTGTCCATTTTAGTGTCTAAATTTGATTCAGATTCCAGAAGACCAGAACTTTCACTCGCAATTTAGTTAGTGAAATGTACAACGAGTTGATTATGCCTCTTTCACCTCAAATGTTATAATAAATTCAAATTAAGTCCATGGTTCCTGGTCAAGACACATGTGGTTTGGGTTCAAAATTTAAGGATTTTGCGTGTGTATCCTATTTAGTGCTCATCAACAAATATGTTATATTGAGAGTGTTTTTTGTGTGGGTACTTATTGACCTATTGCCGATAAATAAATTTTAACTTATAAGTTGTATATATGTTAAATATTCTTAGGTGGAAGTAAATTGACTTAAATCATACTTCCTCCGTCCCTAAATATTTGCCACACTTGTATTCCCGAGGTAAAATATCAACTTTTTTCAATTTATTTTATTTACATATTGGTATAGAAATTAAAAATAAAATTTGAATATCAAAAAACTACATGAAAAGTTCTTTAAAATAAGAGGTGTCAAGAATATTTTATTTTATCAAATGACCACTGAAAACGTAGAAATAAACAAAAGTTCCCGCGACTGCTGAAAAAGCAAACGTTGCAAATAATTTGGGACGGAGGAAGTAGATAATTCATTTGTTGGATATTCAACCCAACACCCCACCCCCAAATTTACACCACCCCTTTTTAATTTCTATTTTATACCCACACTATCAATTTTCAATCACTATTCCCTTTCACTTTTTGGTTGCATAAAAAATCAATCACTATTCTACTTAAACACTGTGAAACCTTCTCTGTCAACAAACAAGTGGGATGGAGGGAGTATATTATTTTGATTGAGAATGTAGGAAGTTGATCAATTTTGAAGTAAAGGACCAACTGTGTATCATGCAAAAGTTGTAGACTTGATGTGGAATTGACACTTGTTTGAAGGAGCAGTAGAAGGGCAGTCCAAATATTAATAAGTAATGAGCAGAAAATTGCAAGTACCCCTGATGCCGAATTCTTTATGTTTTTTTCTTTTTGAAAGTCTAAAATTCTCTTCATTTCCAACTTTTCCCTCTATAGCCTAAAGATTTTGCAGTTTGGCATAATTTTTAAGAAATAAGAAGACTGATTCTTGGGATATGGAAATCAAACGCGAAAGACATTACAAGCAGATTTCACAATGCATTGTTGATTGCTTCCCAGTGGCCACTACTTAGAAAGGCCAAAATAGCTTTATGGATTTGTGCACAATCTTCTGGTTTATGTGTTTACATAAATATGTACTCAACAACAACAAAAACAACAACCCAGTAAAATCCCGCAACAGCAGGGCTACTTAAATATGCACTCAGTTATTAATATGTGTAAACTGATAATGTGGTGCCAAATTGGATCAATATAAGGCAAGAATACGTCAATTTCAGATTTTCTTTAGACCATCCAGTGCCCTTTTTTCTACAAAATCTATTTCATCAGTTCTTAACTTATGAGAATGTTAATTTTCAGGCTCAAGTGAAGTATGGCTATTTTTTGCCATTTCCAAAAATATGTTCTACCCTTGAATCTTATTTAATTGTATTTCACCAATGTCTAAGAAGACTTATTTTCTCTCATGTGAACTAGGAAGGATACCATTTTCATACCTGGAGGATATTAAAATGAGGTTTATAAAGAATTATGGTAGGATTGCTTCCCAGGCACCTGCTTATGCCATGAATGATGAGTTCTCTAGGGTCTTACATCAACAAATGGAGTTCTTTTCAAGCAATCCCAGCTCAGATACACTTAATCGTGTTAGGGAAGAAGTTGGCGAGGCAAGTATTTTTTGTGTGAACTTTTTTAAAGGGAACTATATTAGTCTTGTGTTTCCGTGTGCATTTGGCATCCTCTAAAATTTGTTTTGTTATCATTATCCTGGAATGTCAATCCAGTTGCGGTCCATCATGGTTGACAACATTGATAGAATACTTGAGAGAGGTGACCGTATAGAGCTTCTTGTTGACAAAACAGCAACCATGCAAGGCAGTTCATTTCACTTCAGAAAACAGTCAAATCGGCTCAGAAGGGCCATTTGGATGAAAAATGCTAAGCTTATGTAAGTCTAATTTTGTCATTAAACAAGAGCTATTTGAATGTCTCACTTCTGATCTTATTCAGAGCACAAGTTATTGTTTGGACTTGAATTTATGTCTGTTTTCTGAGATTTTTTGCTCTAAAATTCTTTGTTTTTTTCAATTCATGTGACAGGGCCTTGATGACTTGCTTGATTCTAGTCCTCCTGTACTTAATAATCTCATCTTTCTGTGGGGGCATCACTCTACCATCCTGCAGAACTTAATAATGCCAAGAGTCTTTGTTGACTCCAAACAGAGGCATGTAGGGTGCTTGTGAAAAATAATAGTTACTCTGTATTATTACCGTAAGCAGTAACTTCTTGGGATGGGTAAGATCTTTGTTGGGGATGAATAAGGTAACTTTATTTTCTGAATCTGTGTAAATTCTGATGATTCTCTCACAACTTTCTTTTCTGTTCTTTTATTTGTATTTCTGTCTCTCTGTGTAAGTAATATATAAATCTGGTGAAAGGATTGAAATGGAAGACAAGAATGGTGTGCTTATCAAACACTGGACCCTCAAAAGTCAAAAGTTCAAAACTTTGACTTTGTTAGCTTCATTGACATTCGACAATAGACAAAAAATAGAGGAATTAAAATAAAAAATAAAAATAGTACTCCTCATTTCCAAAATGATTTATCTCTTTACTGTTATAGTTTCTCGATAGTTTTGTTTGTTTGAATGCTTTCATAGATCATTTGATAAAAAAAGGTTTCTTTTGTAGAATTTTTATTTTGTTTTTGAGTATTTTCTATATTGTAATTTTGATTATTTGTAAATAAAACTATTTTAAAAGTCGCGAGATTTTACATGTTTATCGAAAAGATTAATTCATTTTACAATGAAGGGTTTATCAAATGATTCAAATTACACAAATTAAGAAAATTAATTTTTTGGGATGACAAATGATAATTTATTGGGATCAAGTGATACTCTGTACATATTACGACGAAGATGGTTTAAATTTTAATCATTTTTTGAAAGATAATCTTTTATCAAAAGAGAAATGAGCCATTTTAAATTTGTATATAAAAAATCTCAAGACATTGTCAATGATCTTTCAACCAAGCCTAATTCTACTCTTTGGCACAAATATTATTTATATTCTTGAGAGTCAGAAAGCAATATATTCACAACTCCTAGAAAAACAAATTACTATCTTGGCTTGATATCCAAAAATCCAATTTTTAAAGATTTATAGGAATGTTTACCCAATTTTAAACCATAGTGGGGCAGATTTACACTGGAACAGATTTACACTGGAACAGATGCATTGGCTCTTTATAAGAAAATATATAAATAGATACTACATTATAATTGAGGTCAATAAAACTAAAAAAAAATTACTATCCTAATCCATTGTCTCGGAAAATTCTTACAAAATATTACCTACTTATGGAGTAAAAACGGAGTATTCGAAACTAGAATGTCGAGTTTCAGTTGTTCATTTTGTAGGTTTGTAGATAATTAGAAGAATAATTATATATATAGTCCTGAAGTATTTGTCTAATTTATTATGGAATATTTCAGTTGGCTCTCACAAATAATTATTTATTTCAGTTGTTCATATTTCAGAATTATATGTGTGGTTCGATATCATTGTCTCTTTTAGTTATTTCTTTCGCCTTGGAGCATTTGTCTAATTTATTTTTTTAACATATTTTAATAATCAATTAAATAAAAGTGACGTTACATGTTAATATAAAGAAATACATTTTAAATTTTTGCATGATAAATCTAATGGAATATACGCGTATTAGTATATATATAGTCTATATGATATACTTCCTCCGTCCTATAATGTTCTTCCCACACACTTTTTACACGTCAAACTTCGTAAAATGAACCGGGAAGATCATTATAGGACGGAGGGAGAATTTTTTTTATTTAATTGATAATAAAAATTTATGCAATTTAATTTTTTAAAATTCATTTAATTTGATTAAAAACAGTGAAACTAAACGAATATTATAAAACATGGATAATGAATAACATCAATAATTTTTTGAAACATTGTGAAGACAGACTAAATTTATTTTTTTTCATTGGATGGAGGGAGTATTTGTTTATTATCTACCAAAAATAGGAATAAAAAATAGAATTTTGCTTGAAATCTATCATGATTATCCATGACAAATATAGATAATTTTACACATAATAATCTTATTTGTGTATAGAGATTGTGGTGGGTTCCTGACATTCTTTTTTTCTTTTGCGTTTATGTAAAGCCTCTCTTGTTGTTCTTGACTGAGTTCTCTTTCCATAGATTTCATCTGTGCTACTATACACACACAAATCATATCTGTAATTCTGTATAATTGAATCGAGTGGAATGGATCTGAACGGTGTTTTGTAGGGTTTTAAGCGAATCCAGTTGCAGAAGATGAAGCCGATTCAGCTTCCGGAACCGCCTCAAAGTCCCCGCGCCATCGGGGGCATGCCGGAGATCTTCCAAAGCGGAGTCTACGGCGTAATCAGACGGGCGGTGATTATCGGCAACGGGTTTCCGGCCTCCGAGAATCAGAGCATTGGCCTTGTCCGGGCGCTCGGCCTCTACGAGAAGCACACGCTATACGTGAGTTCAGTTGATTTTTTAGCTTCAGAAATTTGATTTTTCTCAGCTTTTAGTTCATCAGCTTAAGTAAATCGTAGGATAATTAGGGTTTTTTGTTGTGGGACTGTTAAATTCTTTACTGCTGATTGTTTGGGAATGTGCTACTAGAAGGGTACAAAGTTGATTAAATCTACATATCATTTGAGTGAACGTCAAAAGAACTCGAAATAAGTACTGAATTCATCTGGTAACAGGCTTTATCTGAAAGAAGAAACTGATTTGGGTGGTAAAATAATGAATTTTTGACTTGATAGTGGTTTTATGATGAGTTAAGCATTCATATTCCAATGGGTTATACTTCCTTGTTTCCAAGCTTCCTTGCAAATTATTTAGTCTGACCAGCTGTGATTCGCTTGGGAAGAGAGGAAATGGAATATTAGTTGGCCCCCATCCTAGTGTGACAGGTTGCGAAGTGCCCATGATATGGATGCCATTTTGAAACCCCCCAAAAAATGTCATTGTGCTGTTTAGTGAAGATGGAAGCATGGGAAGCATTTGTATGAATTTGGGGTTGGGTTGGGATTTTATACTTAGTTTTACCCATTCCATCACCTTAACACTTTTTCATTGTCAATAACATGCAGCGAGTTACAAGGCCAAGAGGAGGAATAAATGAATGGCTAATTTGGCTCCCAGTCTCTCTACATAAAAGGATATATTATATTGTGAACTTAATATTTGGTTATTCACACTTTCTATTGGGAGCTAGGGGTAATAAATTGATTTCTTTTTCCCATGAAAACGGAACCGTTGGCCTGTCATCAATTCTTGAAGCTGATGTTAAGAATATAGTTAATCTTGCTCGTGAATCATTTGATAGGTAAGTTTATGTTTGTTCTTTTTGATAGTTGGTTTAAGAGTTTCTCGCACCATTTAACACTTAACATTTTCATCTAAATTGATATTATTACTTCCAAAGTAATGATGGTGACGTGGGTTCATATGTGAAATTGATGAATTTAACTAGCATTATTTTATTCAATAAAGTTCTCTTTCACTATGTTGGTTCAAGGAATTTGAAAGGAAAAGAAAAGAAAATGAGATGGAAAATAAATTTTCTTGTTTGGTTTGAGGGGAAAAGAAAAGAAAAGTGGAAGGAAAAGAAAATGAGAAGACCATACACTAAAAAGAGAGAATACTATTTCCTTCCATTTTGGCTAGGAAAAGGAGAGAAGCCTTTTTGTTTTCCTTTCGTTCCTAATTCCCCAAACCAAACATAGCCTTTCAGTTTGACCTTTTCTGGCATGCTTTCATGAATTTCAACCTGAATAGATTCCCTAGCAAATGTGACTCTGATGTGTAGATGTTATGGTTATTTTTCAGGGATGGTCCTTTACTGGTGGTTGCATCTGGTAGAGATACAATATCAATTGCAAGCTCCATTAAGAGATTGGCATCGGAAAATGTGTTCGTTATTCAGGTTTGTTAGCAAGCACCTTATCATTTTGCATTTCGTATCGTTTTTCTTATTCAGGTTTGTTTCATAATTGATACCGAGTATTTATTTGCAATGGAGTATTTATTTATGTGGTGTGCAAGAATTGTTTGACATTTTTTAGAGAAGAGTTCATTTTTCATTTCAACTTTCACATTTTCATTCAGATTCAACACCCAAGGTCCCACTTGGATAGGTTTGACCTGGTTATTACTCCAAAACATGACTATTTTCCCTTGACATCTCAAGCAAAAGAGCAAGTCCCTCGTCTCCTCCGTCGGTGGATAACTCCAAATGAACCTCCAGATAAGCATGTAGTAAGTACGCATACCATTGACATTTTTATAATACTGATTTTATTTAGAATTATAGCAAATTTACCATCGTCTGTGCTCTTTTCCGATGTATTGCGAAGATCCTTACAGTTGGAGCCCTTCACCAAGTTGATTCAGCTGCACTTCGGGCTGCAGCTAATGCATGGAACGACAAGTTTGCACCTTTACCAAAACCCTTGCTGGTGGTCAACATAGGAGGGCCTTCAAGTAACCTTCTTTCCATCTTTGCCCAATACTAGAATTTCAATTATTCAACTCATGTCAGTATATCACTTCACAACGGACTACTGTAAAGAGCTTTATTTACAATACGTGTGTGGACAGAACATTTGTTATTTATTTTAACCAAAATATGTCAATCAGAACGGAGTAGTGACTGTACTGACATTATTAATCTGGTAGTGTATTTTTGACTCTTTAACCTAAAGCATGTCTGTTATGGAAGTGCTTGTGTTAGAAGTTTGATTGAGGTCTAAGTCATGTTAAATATCCTTTTAATCAAATAAGTTTGGATTCACTGTTTCTTGCCTATTTCTAAAAATATCATTTTTATTCTTTCTCTTTTTTTCTTCTTTCAAATTTATGAAATAAATTACATACTTTATCCATCCCTCAAAATGGTTTCACAATGAAATTGGCACAAAAGTTAAGAAAGGTCAAATTGTGTGGTTGGAAATGATGTAGATGAAAGAAATAATATACTCCCTCCGTCCCAGAGTATTTGTCCACTTTCATTTTTACACACCATCCAATGCACTTCTTTAATCCATTTTATCTTGTAATTTGTATATTAAAAAATTATAGAAATTATATATTAATAATCTATATGTTAAGACAAATCAAACAAGATCACACATGACTATATTTAGACTTACACATTGAGAGAATTTGATGAGTCAAAGTACTTAGATGAACAGTTCCAAAAGTCAAAAGTGGACGAACAAAGCGGGACGGAGGTAGTAAGTCACAAGTAATTTTCCTTAACTAAATAGTAGAACTTTATTTTGTGACAAACAAAAAAATGTGGGACCTTTTTATGGGAGAAAGAATGTTTTTTACATGTCCATTTTAGGCTATACTACGTATGATTCATACTATATATAATGCAAATGTATGATTTGAATAAGAACTCAAATGTATGTTCATGGACGCCATAAGTTTGTTTGTTACAGTCGCATGATTGCTGGATTGAGAATTTCAGGAGCGATGAGTTTTTAATGATATTGTCAATTGAGAAATGAGTCGTTAGCATACGAACTTGATGTAAAATTTGAGTGCATGTGCATGTGATGTGTTTTCTTTGATCAGGGTACTGCAAATATGGTGTAGACCTTGCCAAGCAGTTAACAACGTCTCTGCACAATATTCTTGAGAGATGTGGCAGTGTAAGAATAAGTTTCTCGAGGCGGACTCCTGAAAAGGTATTATATTTTGTAATAATCATTTTCCCGTGAGTAATTAGTATCTCTAAAGGATTTTGTTAACACACTATACTCTGTAGTCTGTACTATCATATTTATAGCACGGCACGGCTGCACAAGGGGCGTATAAACCCATTTTGTCAATTTATTTACTCTAATGCCTTAGGATATTTCTTTTTTGAGCTACAGATTTACAAAGTTATAACCAAGGAATTGGGCACTCATCCAAAAGTATACATTTGGGATGGTGAACGTATGTGTTTTCACTCGCTTTTTTCATTCTAGTTTATCTCAAGTATGATAGTTTCTGGATGGTCATTTAAATCCTGTTTTATGGTGTCATAGAGCCAAATCCACACATGGGGCATCTGGCATGGGCTGATTCTTTTGTCATAACAGCAGATTCAGTTAGCATGTTGAGTGAAGCTTGCAGCACCGGGTATGCCTTATAATAAAAATAGTAATAATAATAATAATAATAATAATAATAATAATAATAATAATAATAATAATAATAATAATAATAAAAATAATAAAATAATCACACGCATATTACTGTATGTCACCCGTCTCTCTGTGGTTGGATTAGGCTGTTTTTTAAATAAATAAACTCTATGTTGCGTTCCACAGGAAGCCCGTGTATGTAGTTGGAGCTGAGTACTGTAGGTGGAAGTTTGCAGAATTCCACAAAACATTGAGGGAAAAAGGGCTAGTCAAGCCATTTACGGGTCTTGAGGATGTGAGTAACCGCTCTCCCCCTATCTCTAAGGGTCTGTTTGGTTAAGGGGAATGGGAGGGGAAACAAGCCCCCCCCCACCCCCCTCCCTCACCCCAATTTCGGAGAAGAGCTGCCGGGGAAGGGTTCTAAAATTTGCCCCCATCACAGTTTGGGGGCACATTAAAAATCACTGCTTTTTTGCCTATATGTGTGCTTCAACCGAAATCTCTTTTCGTCCGTTTGAATTCAAGTTTGTGGTTTGATTTTGTTCAAATTACCTATATAACCTCATCTGATATTCTTTTTACCTGCTGTAAAACTTCATCAGATGTCAAAGACATGGAGTTACCCTCCACTAAATGATACCGCAGAAGCAGCAAATCGCGTAAACGAAGCACTCGCGCAGCGTGGATGGATGATCAAAGCATAGAGATAAGATATATAAATATAAGAATATTTGTTGTACACAATTTTTTGTTTTTTTTCATGCTGTAATGTCATGCAATGACACTAAAGAAGGAAGAAAAAAAGGGATGGTATAGAAGTTTTGGGTTGAAGCCTACTACATATGTTCATTCTTTTTACCAATATGAGTTCTCAAGCATCCTCCAAGTATACACACTTGCATTGTATACTGTGTTTTTTACTGTGCTGTAATTTTGATGCAGAATGGTAGTGCTGCTTAGATGGGTTTGGAAATGTTGTTTTATTTTACCAATGAATTGCAGTTTTGTTTATTCTATCGGTGGGATTCTAGTGACACCCACCTTTGGTGACACTAGCGGTGCCACTGTCATTTTAGGGCACTTCCGGTGTTCCGTTTGTAAAATTGACGATTCTTACCCCTAACCCACCCCTAAACCCCCACCCTACCCCCGTCCCTACACCCCCACCCCAACCCTGTCGTAAATCCCCCACAAAATGTTCGCACATTTTGTGAGGGGTGGGGGTAGGGTGGGGGGTTTTAGAGGGTGGGTTAGGGAGGGTAGGAACTGTTAATTTTACAAATAGAGCACCGGAAGTACCCAAAATAACAGTGGCACCGGAGTGTCACCGTACTCCGGTGTCACTAGAACGTAGAACCCCATTGTTATTCTATACCAGTATACTTTTTTAAATTTATTTATTTATTAGTGTAGAGTAGCTTTTTTGACGGTAAAAAAGTAGAGGGATAAATAATGTTGAACGTGGGGAGTAAAAAGTTTACACCGTAGTAAACTTCACATTTAAAAATCACTTTTTTCAGGTCAATAGTTATTTTTTGCTTTATTTTCCTAGGGAGTAGTAATAAACATCCCTAAGGAGTTGTGTGGTTACCATTTTGTTTTGCCTTTTAAAAAAATAAATAAATTTCAACTACTAATATTGCTCCAATAAATATTTAATTCCTTGTATATACGGTATATATATATATACTCCGTATGTATATATATATATATATATATATATATATATATATATATATATATATATATATATATATAGTGGGAACTGCATTGAAATAAATTTGTACCCCGTGATTTAAGACCTGAAATCATGGCGACCAAAATGGAAGATGGAAAAACTAAACTGCTCACTTACATACCATGTAAAAAACACTCTCTTTTAGATATGTATAGAAAATAATTGTTTGTGTATACACTGATAACATATCATATTAATAACTACTCTGTACATAAATATTTTTAGAATAATGCGTTAACGGATATTGAACTATGGACCTAGGTCTATGGTAGAAACATGCCCTCTTGAAATGAATTTTGATATTTGACTTCACGAAATTTAAAAAAAAATACTCCTCTTGTTTCGATTTTTTCTTCTCATTTGGAATAATGTGTAAACCTTCGTCTCTTTTAAAATGATTTTAATTATAAGTTTATACTCAGTATAAATAAAAAGTACTCCGTACAAATTACATCATTCAAAATTACATTAAAAGCTCTACGGAACAAGTGGTGACAAAAATATATTATTTTATTAAATAATTAATGAAAAGATACATACAAACATAAGTTATCGAGAAGCTAAAATAATACTCCCTCCGTTCCTAAAAAATTGCCACAATTTGACTTTTTTGGTCAAATTGTGGCACTATTTGACTAGTTATAATGTAAGTTTAGTTAAATTGAATTTGTTTTAAAATATACTCCATTTTGAAATATCAATTTTTTATAATATTTAAAAATTTTAAACTATGTTTAATTCATGGTCAAAGAGTACCACAATTTGGCTAAAGAGAGTGGATTCAACAACATCTTTGTAGTATATTATAAAAAAAATTATCAATTTTTCCATAAATAATGTTAATTTAGTGAAAATGGGTAGGAATTCCTTTACCTTATGAGGGCATGACATATTCACATTACTATTTTTTTCTCACAATGCCAAACTTCAAGTTAAAGCTTCAAAAGCCCCCACCATATCCCCCTTTCTCTGAATGGAAGTTTGAAACACAGGTTTCCATCAAAAACTTTAAGCTCTGATTTGCATGCCAATCATTCCCCCAAATCCAATAAACTTACCAAAAATATAAATTCCCAAAAATGGCAAGAAAAATAAAAGGAAAAAAAGATCTTCTCTGCCTCTCAATAATAATCAATCAATAATACAGTAATAAATAATTAATTATTAGAATAACAAATTAAATACTCTGTTCCATTTTTTCTTCCTTCCCTGTTCTTTCTTCCCCTACTTTTTGACTGCTATATAATGCCACCATACCCACTGCATTTTTTTTCTTCAAACACCAAAATTCCCCAAGAATATATGGAATAATTACCCCATCTCTCCCCTTTCTACCCTTTTCAGCATTTAGATCTAACTTACTTTAGTGGGTAAATAAATTCTTGATTATCATGATGATGATGATGGGTAAAAAAACAGAGTCAAGCAATATATGTTCCCATAAAGTTTGATTCTTGATTCTTGTTGGTAGATTATCTTTAAAGGGAAGTCTTTTTTTCTGAGTTTGAAGATCAGAAGGAGATGATGGGGGCAAAAGGGTCAGAGAGTGAGATAATGTTAATGGAGAGGATGGGATCAGAAAACGGGTCGGGTTCGTCAAGAAAGAAGGATGAAGATCATAACCAGAAGATGGGGAGGAGAGAGAGGAGCTGCTGGAAGTCATCCAAATCTTGCTCCTCTTCTAAGCCCTCTCTTCTTTCTGATCCTTTTTACAGTCCCATTTCTGAGGTCAATTTTTTAATTTCTTCTTCTTTTTTTGATCTCTCTGTCTTTTTTTATGAACTCATGAATTTCTGGGTTTTGATCTTTGGGTCAATTTTTTTTTTTTTTTTGTGTTTTTGAATGTTTGTTTTTGGCAGAGAATGGAAAGATCTAAAGTTGATCAAATGGGACATAGCAGAAGAGCTTCAACCAGTTCTAATCACAGACTTCTGCAGAGTGATCATCATTTCATGGAGGTGCCAAATCTTTTCTCTTCATTTTTCCATTTCAAAGTTTTGATTTTGTTTTTTTTAATCGTCAAGAATCACACACACTTCTCATGCTTCAATCTGCAACTTTTTTATAAAAAAAATCTATATGGCACATTTTAAAGAGAAGTGATAGAATAATAATTGGTAAATACTCCGTAGATCTTATATGAAAAGTCTCTTTTAGTTTAAGGAATTTGGAATAAAAAAAAAGAAAATGGTTTCTCTCATTTTCTTCAAGGAAATGGGAGGAATTTGGGTTTTCTTTCATTTGATACATTTTGCTTTCTCATTTTCTTTTTGTTCCATTTTTCTTTTCTTTTCCCTTCTAACTAAACAAGAACTGTTTTCTACTTTATTTTCTTTTCTCTTGCAAATTCCTTGAACCAAACATAGTGGTCGTGTTGCAAATCACACTCCTCAATTATAAAACTGAAATTACAACTCAATTTATCCGAGGTTGACAGTTTGACTTTGTACTGAATTTAAGAAAAGTGAAATTGTATAGTTGAAAGTGATACAGAGGAGAGAGAAAATAGTTGTCACAAAAAGCTTTCTAAATAAAGAAAGTTGAAAATTAATTTGCGACAATTCCCAAAAAAAATTAAAGAAAATTAATTTGGGATGGATGAAATATTATTTTATTTAAGAAAAAGAGAGAACATGATCTCTGCAATTAAATTGGTTTAGGTTGTACCGCAACTGCCTTTTGTTGTTTTCCACCGTGGAATTATTATGTGATGCTGCGACACACCTCTATACTTTTTTTTTATGAAACACCTCTATACTTATTAATCACAGGGAAATGGACGACACATTAAGAACAAAAACTAAAAACTAAAAACATCATATATGGGGGCCTCACCCTCACAACCTTATCTACTTCAATTTGTCCATTGAATAATTATGTTCATAATAACTTGATTTTTTTAGTTGAATTATTTTTCGTTGACATAACATTAAACAATTTTTAGTTTAAAACCTATTTATTAGTTAAATATTCTCTCCGCCCCAAAAAGATCTTTCTGTTTCATTTTTTGCGCATCTTATAAACACTTCTACACACATCTAAAATGTCTAAAATTTACCACATTTCTCATTTATTATGGGTAGAAGTTGTTTTGAATTTATTTTTTTTTTGTATTTGAAGCGGGATCGAAGTGTTTTATGAGATGCGCAAAAAATGAAACAGGAAGATCTTTTTCGGACGGAGGGAGTATTTTTCTATGTAGATATAATGACTTAAATGATATACTCCCTCCCGTCCTAAAAACATGTGAGTTATTGATTTTTTAAGAGATTTAAGGTAAGTATATTTTGGTATTGAATTTCCAAAAAAATCTTTGATGTGATGGGTAAAAGTAGGATTTGATGGGTAGATTATTAGTAAAAAGGTATGATGTAATAAGTTGGGTATGAAAAAGTAAGGGGGTAAAAATGACTTTTTAATAGAAATAAGAAAATATTTTTTGGGACGAATGAAAAAAGAAAAAGAGAAAGGTTCTGTGGGACGGAGGGAGTATATAAGTGGGAAATATAAAAAAATTAGTGAAATTTGCACTAAATAGGACTAAAATATAATGACTTTCCTAATGTAAGACTTAAACTTTTTTATTCTCTAAATAGGACTTAATAATGATCTAGTGGAAGGAATAATGTCCAGTAATGATGGACATTTAGTTGAATAATGACTACTTGATAATGACCAAAGGTCTTACATTGGGAAATAAAAACATATGGTCCTATATTGGAAAAGTCATTTTGTTTTAATCCTATTTAGGTAAATTTCTCAAAAAAATTATCCTAAAAGTATGTGAGTAAGAGACCCTACTTAACTTTTCTAATTTGTAAGTAGCTTATAAGTCAGTTTATAAGTACATAGAAACGGCCAATTGTAAATGAAAAACAGTTTATAAGGAACTTTACCAGCTTATATGCACCTAAAAACACTTAAATCTTTTAGCTAAGTTACTTCTTTTTACATGATATCCGAGTCTTGTTTATGAGTTCGAAAAAGACACAGAATATGGTAAAATGCAGGTTGATGAGAAACAAGAAACACCAAACAGGAATCCAAATCATCATCATAATCATCATCATCAGACGACCAGACATGCATTGAAGGACGTGTGCCACAGCCTGACAACCTCAAAACAGCTCCTCAAAGTGCTGAGCCGTGTCTGGAGCATCGAGGAGCAGAAGTCAACCTGCATTTCCCTCTTCGCCACCCTCCGGTCCGAGCTCGACCGGGCGTGCCTCCAGGTCTCCAGGCTCATCCAGGACCGGACGGCGGCCCAGAGCCGCGCCGAGATCGACCTCGTCTTGAGGCGGCTCGAGGAGGAGAAGGCGGTCTGGCGCATGAAGGAGGAGTGCCGCGTCCAGACCGCCCTCGCCTCCCTCCTCTCCGAGCTCAAGGCCGAGCGCAAGCTGCGCAAACAAGCCGAGCGGCTCAACAAGAGGCTCGGCCGGGAGCTCTGCGAGGCCAACACGTCCCTTGCCATGTCCACAAAAGAGGTGATGTTACAATATATTCTCTCTATTTGTTCCCTATATATCTTCTCATTACGCGTTATATACCCCATTACGCGTTATATAATACGAGGTTTGACCAATTTTATTTTCAATTAGCTTATTTGATTAGAAATAAAATTTATATAGTAAAAAAACTACATGGTGATATATATATAGGTGGAGACACAAAAGAGGGCAATGCAGGTGCTGGAGAGGGTATGTGAGGAGCTCGCGAGAGGCGGTGGCGGCACCGAAGATAACTATAAGGCGGCGAAGCTCATGGAGGAGGAGGAGAAGGAGAAGAAGGAAAGGGATGAAGAGAGAGTTGGGACGAAGAAGATGGCCGAGTCGAGATCGTTCGAGTTTGAAGAGTTAAAGAACGAGCTGGGGTCGCATTTGGCCCGGGAGGAGGATATCGGCGGCGGCGGGGAAGGGGGTGTTATCTGGCAATCGTATTCCCCGAGCCTCGAAAAGCTCAAAGCCCTCGAGAAGCATTTCAGGGAAACGCTTCCTGGCGGGTACCCTCCTCCTGCTCTGGCGGCGGGGCGGGAGGAGGAGGAGGAGGAGGAAGAGGATGAGGAGGGGGAGCTGCATTGTATAGAGCTGAACATGGAAGAGGGGGGAAACAATGGAGGGATGGGGTTTGAGAGTGGGTCATCTGAAGCTTGGAGGAATGATTATGATGAAGATGAGATTGAGAGATATAATATGATTAAGGACCTTAGATACCATTTTGTTTCTTCCTCCAAAATTATCCCACCCTCTTAATAATTAACATATATTGGATATATGGCACTCCCTCCTATTTATACCAAGAAAAAACTACCATTTGTTATCATCAAATTAAATTGTGTGTGTTCTTTGTTTGAGGTTGTTAGAACTCATTGAGTTGTTTTTTAAGGTTGTTTACTATAGATTATGATTTTTTTTTTGAATAATATCAACATATAGTGTGATTTTCCCTCCTTTCTTGAAAATAATTCTGATTTTGACCAAGTATTGAAATAAGGAAATGTTAAATTGTAATTGACTATCATACCTGTCCTTGATGTGATGGATAGATTATTGGAGAAAAAGTATGATGTAATAGGTAACATAAGAAAAAAAAGGGGTAAAAGTAGTTTTTTAATAGAAAGTGGAAGTGTTTTGGTGAAAGAGAAAAAAATGAATGAAGAAGTGTTTTATAGAACGGAGGGAGTAGTATTTTTTGAGCACTAATAAGTATACATACTCCCTCCGTCTACTAATAAACTTCTCGTTGCGCGTTACGATGTTTGACTGAATTTATTTTCAAATCATTTTATATGAAAAATGGTGTAAAATTTAAAAATAAAAATTACATATTAAAAAACTATATCAAAAGATATACCAAACTAGAGCTGACATGACTATATTATTTTATCAAATAAGTGACGAAAATATGTCAACAAAGTGAATAAAATTTGACTCTGTGAATAGTGAATGAGAAATTTATTTGTGGGCGGAGGGGGTAATAATTAAAGTACCACTTCGACCATACTTTAATTGAAAAGTTATACTTGGTCTTAAGAGTCATGGAAAATATGAATATTCTCTCACTTTTCATTGGGTGCAAGTGGACCTTTTCTATTTTTGTAAAATGTCCAATTTTTTAATGATATTAATGCATAAAAATCTATATAAGGAATTGAACATGAACCTTTAGACAATAATGCAAGAATTTGCCTTAACTAATTGAAAGACTTTGAATAAGAGGATTTACAAAAATAAGATACGGAGTAATAATTTTGGAGTGAAGAAGAACACAAATCAATACCCTCCAAATTTAAACTAATTCTAATATTGTGGCTCAAGTCTCCACTAGACAATATGACATCACCACCACCAATAATAATACTCCCTCCATCCAAAATTAAACTTTACATTACGCGTTACGATGTTTGACTGAAGTTATTTTCAAATCATTTTATATGAAAAATGGTGTAGAATTAAAAAAACAAAAATTACATATTAAAAAACTATATCAAAAGATCTACAAAACTAGAGGTGACATGACTATATTATTTTATCAAATGGGTGACGAAAATAGGCCAACAAAGTGAATAAAGTTTGAGCATGTGAATAGTGAACGTAAAGTTTATTTGTGGACGAAAAGAGTAGTAATAAATAATATTAGAAATAATAATATAAATGATAATAATAATAATAATGAAATTGTTTTTCTCTTTCATTTTATATAATACGGAGCATTAATTACCACTCCCTATATATTACATCCACCGTCCTAGAAAAATTTTCAAAAACGAAAAAAGGCATGTCGAAAAAAGAATAGATATTTTCTAATTATGACTCATTTTTCATGTCTTATCTTATAATAAAGTAAGAACAAAATTAAAAAAATAATATCAAAATTACATATGTGTGTGTGTCTATATATATATATATATATATATATATATATATATATATATATATATATATATATATATATATATATATATATATATATATATATAGCACATGCACTTGTTGCATTGCATCATCACAAAAAAAACATTGTTTGGGAAGGTTTAAAAGGTTCATGTATATATGTATTTAATAAAGCTTTAGTTAAATTAAATGTTTTGAGATGACATTTGGGTATGGGTGTCCAATTCCATATTTCCATGGCCTTCTGGATTTTTTTCCAATCCAATCAAAACCCATATCCCACTGGTTGTAATAATATGGCCTCACACTTTTATTTTTTCTCATAAAATATGGAATATATTGTTGACCAATATACCCCAGTATATTCACAAACCCATATTGTTGTAATATTTGTTTATAATGTTCCAACTCAGTTTCCTTTTTCAGACTATAATTTCATAAATAATAGGAAAAGATGTTGAAAAATAAAAAATATGATACCGAAATAGACGATTGTCAAAAATTTTAAAAAATGTTTAGGCTTGGACTCTAAATAGAGTTTAAGAAATGAGAAAAAATTGTGATTAGATGATGAAATTGTTTAGAAAAAGGGAATATGCAATGAACAACATATTCCTTCGCTAAGAAATATAGAAAAAGTGTATGAAAAACTTATTTTGAAACGTGACAAAAATGAAAGTATAAATTTTAATTCAGGACATTACCCTACAAAAAACACAAACGTTGTCAAAGATTATAACCTTACATATGTTGTAATGTGACAAATTGAAGTTTACCATTAAGAACGGTGTATAAATTCGTGACAAAACTTGGTATGAGTTTTTAATGAACAACCTTTTTAAGGTCATGTTCTTTTTAACTTAGTTTTTTTACTTATTACTTTTTTTTGAGGTAATTTTACTTATTACTTATTTTTATTGGAATAAGATTTTACTAGATCAGATCAGAAATAGTTTAAAATATATACTCCGTAATTACATTCAGATCACACCAAATCAAATCAGATCAAAATTTATCACAATCATATTAGAAGAAGAGAACATGAATAAAAAATTCCGTGATAAACTGGACCGTTTATCCAAAACCTGCCATAGAAGAAGTCAAGCCCAAAGAGTTCTTAGACCCTACGTCTTGGGCCTCTTTTTCATAGTATGATTTAATAGGATATGAGTCCAACTTTATTCTGAATAAACATAGTTTAACTTTCTAATCTTTTTTACGTTTGTTCTAAAGTAATTCTCACAATAAAGCTTTAAATATTTTCTTTTGTTTTGAAATTTAAAAAAAAATTATTACTCTCCCCATCCGGAAATATTCTTTTCATTTGACTTTTCATGGTCTTCTATATTGCACTTTGACCATTAAATTATATTTATACATAGATATATTTTATAGAAATTTGATATTTGAAAATTACGTTTCAATAGGAATATACTGATATTAAATTTATATCATACTACAATCTATTTTTATATGAGAGTCAAAATTTACAAACTTTGATGAAAAAACTCAAATGAGAAGAGCATTCCCGGACGGAGGACAATACACATGAAATATAGAACTAGAAAATTCATACTCCTTCCATCACAAATTTATTTACATTATTACATTTTTTGTAAATGATTTTATCTATAAGTTAATATAGAAATAAAAAGTATATAATTATAAACTCTCTCCGTCCCAGAGTATTTGTCCACTTTCTTTTTTACACACCATCCAATACACTTCTTTAATCCATTTTATCTTGTAATTTGTATATTAAAAAATTATAGAAATTATATAATAATAATCTATATGTTAAGACAAATCAAACAAGATCACACATGACTATATTTAGACTTACACATTGAGAGAATTTGATGAGTCAAAGTGCTTAGATGAACAGTTCCAAAATTCAAAAGTGGACGAATATAGCGGGACGGAGGAAGTATTTAATAACTATATAAAAATTTTTACAAAATAAATTGTAACAATGCTATTTTATTTTTTCAAATGGTTAATAAAAACACAAGAGTAAACAAATTAAAAATTATGGGGATGCTTAAATAATAAAAATGTAAATCATTTTGGAACTAGAGAGTATATTAATAAGAATAATACTCCATATTACTTTAGATAGTTGATTTAAAATAAAAAAATGAAAGATATGCTTTAACATATTCAAGATACTTCAATTCGTACGTATATATAAATCTTCCTTTTTAATTTACATGTTTTTATTGAATTTTTAATACTCCGCATAAAAAAATATCATCATGTCACATCATTTTATCTTAAGAATCTTGATAAACAAAGTAATTGTTGAATATCTTTATTTCAATAAATCAAAAAATAATTTCATTCAAAATAAGTACACATTAATTTGAAATGGAGTAAAGAGTGCCAATAAGACTCCTCTTTTTTTTCAATGTGACTAGGAAAGCAAAAAAATAAAATTAAAAATAAAATTAAAAAAGGAAAAAAGGTTGACACACGTATCCACGTCACGAGTCTCCAATTCTGTGGTCCCACTTCCATGCAAGCTCAACACGTACTCTCCCCATTCACGTGACTCCCACTCCTTTTGGCACGCGCTTTCTTAACTGCCACCACCGTTGCACTTTCTTAACTGCAATAACATTTGAATGAAAATATTTTTATTTTTTATTAGATTTTAAATACTCCGTAATTAAAAAAAATAAAATGAAATTTACATATATTTAAAAATTATGTAAAAATTTAAAAATAAAAATTGGAATAACTATATTATACAACATGGGTATTATGAAATGAGTTATCAATATAGACAAAGAATATAATGAATTAAGTTTCAACGTGTGGATAATGAACAAGATATATATATATATATATATATATATATATATATATATATATATATATAGATTTTGGATCAAGTGAGAATGCAATCTTATGAAAGAAATAAGAATGAATCTGGTGCTTTAGATTGTGAGATTTAATGGTCAGGATTGCATAAAAATTAGGTGCACCAAAATGGTTTGAAAATGCATCATGTCAAAATGCACTAAAATCTTTTAAAAATGCACTATCTCAAAATGTGAGCGCAGGATGCAATCTGATCCGCACGATGCATCAGATCCAAAGTCCAGATTTTATTCTTATTTCTTTCACTAAGGTGCATTCTCACTTGAACCAACCCCTATATATATATATATATATATATATATATATATATATATATATATAGCCTACATCATATACTAAAGAGATTTTTACTATAGCATTGGTATGTGAATATTAAAGAGTACGTAATTATTTTTTTGGGTGAACAATATGGAGTACTAACTACATGCTCGAATATTTGTTAAGTTTTGACTTTTGATAGTCAACTGATACTACCTTTTGATTTATAATTAAATAAAATTTATAAACTATTTCATTAGATAAATATCTAATATCAATTGTATTTAATTACTGATCAAAGTTTGTCAATTTTAACTATACAAAGACAAACTTAGATATATACTCATGGACAAAAATGTAGTAGTAATATATAGTGAGGTTTGAATTTATGATCCTTAAATTAATGAAACTTTGATTGAATTTTCAGAAATACATATTAATACGATGAAATAAAATTTTGAATGCCCTAACAA